CTTTTATGAAAATCAATTTGTTCATTTTATTGCCATCGATCAATTATGCAAATCATTAGATGTCAATTTTATTGTCTTTGATAATCACGTAGATCATAGATGTCCATTTAATTACCTGCAGATCTGGCAATTTTATTGACACAGCAACTTTATTGCCTAGCGATATGGCAACTTTATTTCCTTTGATATTTTTAGTTTAGTTTATTTAATTATTTTATATGTATAAATATCTTTGTATTTTCTTTAAGTCTCATTACCTTTCTGAAAAAGGTAACTGATGAGATGTTAATCTTTTAGGTACCGAACTTAATATTATATTAATAAAGAAGTATAATTAACCAAGTATAAAACTTATCCTTCGCAAACCCTTTGAAACTGTTATAAATTATCTGAGACCCTTTGCATTTGTACAATCCCTTTCGTTAGTAAACTTCTTATATGATATTGTATTGATTCCCTGTATTGACTTGGAGTCTCTGAAGCGTAATCTCTGAAATATCTTTGAGTTAACTTTGAGTTTATTTTGTATTTATCTCACGTGATTTATATTGAGAATAACTCTTTGACTTTACTGTGAATCCTCACCCGTGATTCCTTGAGTAATTGTCTTAGTTTTATTTACCCTTTTGAGATTTTATTTGAAGTCACGAAACCATCGTGACAATGTGTAAAGATAAAATCAATCTTTTGTCATATAATGCTGTAACTTTTGAAATGTATACTTACATATATATGCATGATCAAGTTCCACAATTCTTATATTAAATGTACTAATATTACTCATTAAGTAAATGATATATGATACTATTTCATTTGTTAAGTTGTCCATTAAAATTTTAAAAAATCAATTTTATTTTTCAATATCTTAATTTTCATTGGTCAAAATTGTAAAAGCACATTGTATTACTTACATATACAGTATATCACATTATTTTTTTTTTGACAGGTCAAGAATTCCTAATGAAACGTCCAATTTTCTTGAAAAAAAATCATTGCATTTCGACTCGATGGAGTCCATTGTACAGATAAGTTCTTTATTAAATAGTTGCTATTTCATAGAAGTAGAAAGTTTTGTTAGTCTAAAATGGACGAATTCATTTAAATTTAATATCTAATAAAATTTTAAATGCAAAATTAGTGTCATAGTAAATCCCACTTGAACCTCTTTCTATTAAAGGAATTTTGATAGTAGAACACTGACATTTAATTCTAATATTGTAATAATATATAAATAACATAATATGGAAGTTTGCTAGGAAAATCAGGTTTTGGGATTTTTTTTGACTAAAATTAAGGCCTTATTAATCTAATAATAGTCATCGAAAATGTTCCCTAATTTTAACTCTATTGCTATAAGAATTTCAAATTAACATATCTCAGCTAATATCACCTCAAATTTTATAAAATTATAACCATTAGAATCGCCTTATTTAGGCAAATCTTATAAGCTATTAATTTTTAATTATTTAATTATTTGATTAATAGATAAATTAAATGATGTTTCAACAACTATATTTTTGTAAATATTAACCGAATTAATTTTAAATAATAGTATTTAATTCATATGAATAATATGAATTTAAAAAATGAAAAATTTTCAATTTTTAATTACTAGATCTCAAAATAATATACTTTAAAGTGTTACTAAAAAATTTTTTATATGTAAAAAAAATTTAATTTTAATTTTTATTAACATTTACTTATATGTAAACATATAAATCTAATAATTATAATTTCTCAATATTTTAATGTTAAAATAAATAGATATACTTATATTCAAAAATTAGTATTTTAAGTATTATTTTAGCAATAGTTTTAAAAAATCTTAGATTTGAATTTCCGAAGCGATATTTTATACTAAAATAATATTTAACAGTTACTTCATATTAAAGTCAAAAACGGCATTCTAAATCTACTTTATCGTATTAATTAAAGTTGTAGAGCTAATAAAATTACATATGATATATAATTATAAAGGTTATACAATGAATAGATAGGCTTTAAACTAACTGTTACGCTAAAATTAATCATTAAATTTCCGTTTTAGGCAGTTACTCCTAATAAATGTCAAAATCGGTATTCTAAATCTATTTTATTATACTAATTAAAGATGTAGAGCTAATAAAATTACATATAATATAAAATTTTGTAGCAATAGAAAAGACATTTCCTGTGACCGATAAGGTATTTTAAAGGTAAAATTTCATAAGTTTTGTATACAACCTGATTCTGCAGTTGAATTACACTAATTTTAAATTTAAATAAGAAAAATTCAATTTGTTGATCTTATAAATATGAGCTTATTCTTAAACTAAATCAAATGTGTTTTATGAATATATAATAATTATTTTTAATATCAATAAAATAAATATTATAATAAATAATATTGAGATAATATATTAATTTATAAATAAATTTACTTTTTATGAGAAAATTATCCTTATATATATATATATATATCCATTAATTAAATAAATAATTATTAAATCTTTTGAATTGTATTACTTAATAATAATTTTAGTTAATATTAAATAGAGTTTAATTATTCTGGTTGAATTAGTAAAAAGTAAATATTAAGATTGAATCCAATTTATTAGTTATTATATTTTGAGTTTGTGCAAATATAAGAATAGAAATATCACAAGTGAAAGTAATCTAATTAGAATATATTTAGATTTTAGTTATTATAATGAAATATTCTAATTATAACATAATAATATAATAATGATAATAAATTATAAATATTAGAATTAATAATATTAATAATGTTGTTTTATAATGTATATAATGTTTGTAATTATCAATTAAATTTCAAATAATTTAAACTAATTTTTAAAACTTAAATTTTGAAGTTGAAGAAAAAATGTAAAGTAAAAGAAATATAAATGTGTATATTTTGGTTTAAAGATAAAAATGACCAAAATTTGTATATAGCTCTATTTTTAGCAAACAATAATTTCTCTAAAATCTTTGGTAATACCAATATTTACTTTGTCTGGTTTTGTTGCAGTTTATCTTATATAATCAAATATTAAAAATAAAATATTATTATATTATAATGTTAAAAAAGAAAAATGTTATAATAAAAATGTTATAAAATATTTTCTAAAGTCAGAATGTTCATTAACGTTAGTAATTAATAATGTTCATATAGATTCTTATCAAATAATTTAATTTATATATATTTAGATTTTTTTTTAAAAAATGTATAAAATTAAAATAAGTAAGTTTTCTATTTATAAAATTTTAACGATAAATTTATTTAAACCAAATAAAAAATAAATAATGCATATATATAAATCAAAAGGTAACATTTCGTAGTTAATGAAACAAATCATTCAAGGATCAATTATTTACCAAAAGAATATTTCTCCATTATTACAGGTAAACAAATAAGACCCTTCACAACCAACAACAGCAGTTCTTTCAAATCTAAATTAATAAATAATGTAACACGGTAACACGACAAAACTTACAAAGCGAATTATAAAAAAAACCGGTTTTTATCATTTTTATCAACTAGAATCAAGGTTTCCCATTATAAAAAATGTTGCAGCTATCAATCAAAAAATCAGGTTTTCAACAATTTAAAGAGAAAAAAGAGATAATGAATTGAACACAACATTTGCATACAGTAACATTCAAGCAAAAGATATTCGTGGCGATTGATAGGAAAAGGGTCGAGTGTAGGACAAATATAAATGCAAGCGCAAGACGTTGATTCAAAACTTTGATCCTAAGTTGAGTTATTTAGTATAGTTATATTGTTATTTATTTATAAATTAAGTACGACATTTATTTATTTTTTTTTCTTTTAATTGAAAGCTGTAGTGGATTCAGGTTGCACAATGCAAACCGCCTACGAACAAACCCTATTGAATGTTTCACGAAACCTTCTTTGGTAATATCTGGGGGACAATTATATCAAGGGACTATTAAATTATCCCTTAATTCAAGGAGACACACTCTAAACTAAAAAAAACCTGAAAAAAAGTTGTCAGTTTTTAAATGTGAGACAAAGTTTCAAGAGAAATGAAATCTGGGGTAAACAAAAGAAAGGGGTGATGATCTACGTGTACAAAATTTTATCACATTTGTAATGATTTTAATTCCAATCGAGTATTTATGACGATGATATTTTTCGATAGACACAACTTCCGAAGAGGGGGAAGGGGAGGGTGGGTGGAGGTGTTTCTTTGTTTCGAAAAAAAAAAAAAAATTTTTTTTTTCCTGATGAATTTGCGATAATTATTTTTTTTTTTTGCGTCTAGATTTGTTTGAGTAACCCACAATTACAATTGAATCTAAATAAAAAAGGTTTAAGGTTTTTTGATAAGAAAATTATTCTAAATAAAGCATAGTGCTAAAATTAAAAGCATATGATCTCAATTTTTCGTGTATCCGTTTGTGGGGTGTAGAAGTTACCATATGGTGGAGCGGATAAACTGTTCAGGAAAAGACGAGTGAAATCTTGTCAAATCTTGATTGGAGTTTTTTAAAAAAAGAATTAAGCCATTTTATTTTTTTAATGTTAATTAATTACCTGGATTGACATCATTCTCGCAGCTGACCGAATATCTAAAAATAATAAAAAAAAAAAAGAATGATACAATGAATTTCAATTTACAAAATGAAATCTCGGAGAAATATCGATTATTAGGGGGGTAAATCCTGAATAAATCTCTAATCGGAAAACTATACAAACGGAACATCCAAAAATTTATTTATTATTTATTTATTTATTTATTTATTTTTTGAAAAAGTGTTCTTTGCACTTCATAAATTTAATAAAATCGACAATCTTGAGATAATTTTTTTTTGAACGGAACTGTGACCAATTGTAGCATTCAAGGAATTTGCTTAGATCTTCATCTCTCCGCATAAACAGCTGACAGATTTTTTTTTTTTTTTCATTACAAACTTTATTAAACCATACTTCATTATAAATTTTATAATCCTCTTGGGTAATTAATTAATGGGGGAAATAAAAAAAAATGTAGTCATCTGGTGCTTCCTATTACAACGCCTTGACACTGCCCCGTTACTAAATTATTCGTAGTACAAATTATTTTGACCGTTCGGTTGTCATAAAACCGGTTTAACCTGATCTTGCTGATAACGATGACGGTACCTTATGACTCATCATATCGTTTTGGTTAAAAGTATTTGTAAACGGTATATTATCTGTATGAATCTGTACGGTATCGTCCATATAGAAATTCCGATTATTATAAATATTAAGATTAGTGCAAAAAGGTTTCGTGTCACAGAGTCACCGACTTGGAATTCTTGAAGCTAGACCCCTTAATCTTATTCCTTTTTTAGGTCCTTTCGGTTTTCGCCCATCGATAAAAAAAAAACACACACGATTCATCGTTAAAATAAAAATAAAAGAAAAAAAAAAAAAATAAGGCCATAATGTTGTAACCTAGACTAAATTTTGTTGACATTTTTGACATTTCAAACGTCAAAAAATTAAAAAAGAAAACGAGAAAATAAAAAAAGATCACCCAGAAAGTAACAAAAAAAAGAGGGATCAAAAAAATTCATGTGGATTTTTTTGTACGCAAGTTGAAGATCAGATTTAATAAATTACATGAGTTTCCGCATTCGTACAACTTATCTTATTCCATTTCTGTGTCATATGAAATAAACATTGCCGTTTAAGAGGGTATGACGTCCTTTAATCATTTCTATTTTTGGGATATCACTTTGGTGTCACCCGGAGTTGTGTGACAATCAGTCCAAAATAAAAGGAGACGACAGGTTCCGCCATCTGCATCATTTCGAGCCAATGAATTTTCAATCATCCCCAATTCGACAATATTTTTATCCCACCCCATCTTATAACCCCCCAATTCTTAGACACCGTGCCACCTTCAAAAACCATCAGAAAAAAACCGGGTGAACAATACGCACTGCACAGTAACAATTTATTCCGCTTACCAGTACCGCCATACTACAGTAAACAGATAGTCGCCAAACCGAAGAAACTCGAGCTCTTTAATTTGTTTTATTCTTTAACCGAAACAAATAAATGGCTAACAACAACAGTCAGAACACTTCAAACTCGCAACAAATTCAATACAATAGCTTTGGTGTGCCCATCCAACCTCAACAGGTTCAACCGAGAGACAAAACACAACAGGTTCGTATTTTTCTTTATTCAACAATTCCGGACAACGAAACTCAAGTTTTTAAAAGAGGGCTAGTACGTGAAATACCTTATGAGTGCTTGTTAAGCGGCAAGTCGCGAAAAAAAAAAAAAATTACTTCAAAGTCGTCCTTTTTGCGCCCGACGAGTGTTACTTTCGTAATAAAAAGTTAACAAGTTACAAAAGACAATACAAACGTGTCTATTGAACTATAGAACTTTATCGTATCGAAAAAAGTATCGAAAAACCTATTCTGGAACCTATTTTTCTAACAAGGATCAAATTTTTCTCGTACTAATAGTCATCCTTGGAGTCAGAGAAGAGACAGAAAAAAGGCACACCGAAACGTAAGTCGATGGAAAACGAACGAGAGAAACACAAAGCCGAATATGAAAAGTCGGGGGTATGTATTGCATTACATTTGTATGTCGAAATGGAACGAAAATAAAAATGACTAATATATTTAATATATATATTTTATTACATTATAGAATGAGCTGAAAAGTCTTTTAACACAATTCGGATCCAAAGCAAAAGCAGTAGATGAATTAGAACGTGACGCCCAAAATATACGTACCAATATCAGTGCGTTAATGAGCAAAGTACAATCCAAAGTAAACAAGGTTTGTTTACGTGTTTTATTAAAGCCTCGGTTTTATTTACCTCGTGAAAATTTTAAATGATCTAATAATTTATCATCTAAATATTTTTGATATATTATAGCCTATACAAGTAACGCCGCCACCGCCGACAACACAACATCCGCAACCACAAATGTTACAACTGCCAGCAACAGAACAACCACACCACGGCTTCTTTACCTCCTCAATGTTGAATAAACTCACATATATAATATTATTTCCTTTTAATTTCTTATTAGATTTAATAAGATCATTATACAGTTCAATTAATTGGACTATGTTATTATTTTGTGTATTATTAATGGAATTAACGATAATTGGTTTAATTTGGACGTAAGTTTTCCCCTCAAATTATCTCTTTAGAAAATTTCTTTCTCTTCACATATTAATGAGCATTTCGATTTTGAAACTACAGAGTCAAAAGATCGCAAAATACATACCTGTACGTTGAACCGTACGAGCCAGTTGTACATGGAACATTTGGAGTCGACCAATCTATGTCCTTGGGAATAGTTTGTTCGGTCGTCAATTCGATAAGGGACTTTGTAGCAGAGGTGATGAATGGAGGTCGCGGGTTCGGCAGTCCAAGTTACGATGGCTTCGTGCCGATATAATTGTTTAATACAACAAATACTTAATAATGCATGAATGGGTTGACCTCCTTCATCACACTTATATATATATATAATATAGTATATACATTACAATGGGACAATTTAATATTAATTTTATAGAAGAAAAAAAAAAATCCTTGGTATTTTTTTTTTTTTTTTTTTTCCCCTTTCCCTTTTCCTCTTTTTTCACTGTACATATTTGCTCCTTTTGGTTCGCTTTTTTTTTTTTTTGTTTTTAAAAATTTTTCTTGTACTTTTTTTTTAGACTGTTTTTATAATTTTGTTTCGCTCCTAGCTACTTTTAATTTCTTTCCTTATACACATCCACTTAATCTTGCACAAAATATTATATAAACTGCACATACAACAACACATTTGCACATTAGTTAAAAAAAAAAAAAAACTTATTACCATTGCTAAAAAAAAAAAATTCATTGCATTACAATTTAAAAATAATGCTCTTTGATTTCTTTGATTGCACATTTGCCCTTTAATAAACTCGAAAACGTTGTTAATAATGCAACGAATTTCCCCTCCGAGAAAAAATTCATGCATACAAAATTGACTTTTTATTTATTTAATAATTTATTTATTTATTTATTTTGATCGTATTTCCGAGTGCTACTAATTTTAATGAATTTTTTGTGTTTATTGAACGAGACAAATGGCGCAGTGATCTCATGTGGTATGTGGTGGTTTGATCTTCATTTTTTTTTTTTTTTTGATTTAATCCTTAATAAAATTTTTAACTTTTTTTTTTTATCTTGTAGGTATAGCGTAAAATGGTAAGTTTAGCTTATATTTGCGTATTAGATGCAAGCTAGGCTTTCAAAAAAGTAATTATAATAATAAAAATACACTTCAAAACAAATTTTCAAGGGTTGAAAATTGAGAATATTACGCGTGATTAAAATAAGTAAAGTAATAAAAAAGTTCGAGTTACTTCTCCCTAAAATTCCTAGCCCATACCTGAAATATCATGGTAATTGTGGTTTATCGAAGGGAGTAAATTGAAAAAGAATTAATACCAGTACACCTTCTTTACATTAGAATAATGTGAATGAGGGTCACTTCAATTCATACATTTACAAACTTGATCTTTTTTTTTCCTCAGAGGCAAATTTTCTGATGATGTAATTTTATGTATCATATATATATATATATATCTACACGGTATATGTAAAGTGAATCTTTTGATTGAATAAAAATACTTTTTGAAACGATTGAAAACTAAAGTTACGCGAAATGTTAATCAATGAATGGGTAAATTTAAGACGCGATGATATTAAATTTATTTTAGGTGGTTTAACCGAAAACAAATTATTTGTTTACTGACAATATCTCTTAAATTAAAAAAGTAAATTAAAAAGAGATCGGTGCCGTGTAATCCTCGTGTTTAAAAGTGCATTTGTTTGTTTTTTACTATAATTCATTCAAGTTCAAGTTCGATTTTGTTAATGGCGGTATTCAAAAGTGGTGACTTTATGAACTTTTTTACCGATATATCATTATCATAATTGTAATCGATTATATGATATCTAGATAGATCTAAGAAACAAAATCCGATTTGGTAATTAGTAATTTATTTCACACGTGTTTATATGATAAAAAAAAACAAACGGTAATCGGTGTAATTTCCCCACGGAGGCTAAAATCGATATTACGGAAATTAAAAGTTAACTGTCATTTAGGCGTTCAAGTGATAATTCTGAATTTTTGACCGATGATTTGCATATAGCATTATTCAACGATATCCTACTCATTTTAATCTCATTTTAAATAACTCATTATACCTGTTGTAACTTGTAGGTGAAAAAATTTTTTCTCATTCAGGTTAAAATGAAATATATTTATGGTAATTATTCAATTTATGTTATAGGATAGAATACATTAAAAAAAAAAAAAAAAAAAAAAAAAAAAAATTTGATAATTCGCAATTAGCACAAGTATATTTATTATTATATTTATTTCTTTGATTAACTTTTTTTTTTTTTTACTTCTTCATTTATCCTTCATTGAGACAAAATTTATTTCAATAAATCATTTAAACGTTTTGGATTCATTTGAAGATTATGTCTCATTTTTACCATGTCTGTTAAATATTGATTTATGGGGGTAGGAATGTTATAAGCATTTCCTAATTTAACTATGTATCCATTTAAATAATCAACTTCCGTTGCCAGATTTCTTTTGATAGATTGTAATGATAAAGATTCATAATGACGAGTCTTTATGCAGATTTGAAACACGGCATCAATCAATCTATCGGTGGCGAATCGGTTCGTCGGTGTCATCCCAAGACTTTCTCTGTGTTTCCTGATGACCATAGAAGATTCTGCGCAAATTGGTCTTATAACACGATCGGCCATCTTGTTAAATAATAATGCCCCATTACGTATAAAATAAATTGATGTAAGTGGATCAATCACTGAATTCAATGCAAGGTTCTCGAGTTTACGATTAACTATGTTTGAATAATTAACATTTCTTGCATTAAGTTCCGGAATTTCAATAAATTCTTTGATCACCGAATCTAAGGTATCTTTGCTTAAATCATTATCATCATCATCGTCTGCCGTCGTCGCTGTCGTTGTAGTCGTCGTCGTCGTCGTGGTAGTAACATCTCTGTTCTCCAAGGATTCTTCAGGTTGTAAATTTGCATCGATTTTCTTTTCTTCGGTTTTATCAAATCGCCTAGGAATAACCCCAAGGTCGATTTCACCAAATCCGGAATGTATTAACTTAAATTGAGTACCAAAGGTGGCTCTTTTATAAACGTGATGAGAATTTAAACCGATTAAAAGATTTGGTCTAATGGCTTCATCAAAATTATAATAGTCTTTCATTAATTCTTCATAAGTTCCCAATCCATAAGTGAATAAGATAATGGTACTCGTTGGTGATAAACGATGAAAGATCCTTTGATAATATTTACTGAATTCGTGAGATTTAATCGTGACGATAAGTCTCCTGATACGTTGATGTGGTGGGCATGATTCATTCGGATATCGAGGATCAATCACATTTCCATAATTATACCCATGTATACATTCTGATTGATAATCTTTTGATATCTCTACATTTGGTTCAAATTCCTTTGTAACTTCAATGGAACGATTAAGTTTATCGAATTTACCCAAGGTTGTGGGGTCTCTTAAGAGTAAAGTGACCTTGTGCCCACGTTTTCGAAGAAAGTGTGCTATAAAAGAACCGCTATTACCAACTCCAAGTACATGCCAATGTTTCATTTTTTGCAAGGTAATTTGGAGAGGAAAGAAAAAAAAAAAATAGATTGGAAAATGTTTATCAAGATCTTTAATGGAATTTCACGTGATTTCACGTGACAAATCTCTCCAAAAATTCTTTTTGGATAAATTTTATTAATTTTTTTTTTTTTTTTTCATGTTATTGGGGATTTAAAATTCAAAAAGAAGATCTTTAAAAATCTCGGCCCTCATATAACTTTCTATGATGATGAAATCATATTTTTAATTTTACTCCGTTGGCAGATCACGAAATGGTCGGTATTAGTACCGGCCAACATTAACTGTGGCTCTCAGTTACAGTATTACAACAAATAAGTTTTACTTGGGCGTGGTGAATTATCACTTTTTGTCACATTTTTTACGTTTTTTTAGGGTGTGAAATCCAATTTGTCACTCGTTAGGATAACTATGAGCCACATTAAGCACATAAAATCACGTGATCCAGTGGTGGGTTCCTTTCTATTATAATTATATTTTTTACGCTCAAATTCAGATAAATGATACGGGTTTAAATTAAATTGATTAAACGAAATGTAAAGGCTCAACTTCCTAAACGTCGACGTTCCGTTACAATAAATTCGAGGGAAATATCTAAACTAAAAGGATAATATTCTTATAATTAAATTCAGCAAGGTCATAGTGGCCAGAAGACATAGGACATATTGAACAGCAATTAAAAATATTTTGACAAAATATATATTTTTGGTAGATAATATTTTTTATTTTCTTGGAAATTAACTTTTATGATCAAATAAATCGTTAAAACCTTTAAAAATCTAAATTTGATAAAACGATCGATTAATCGAAAATCCCAAGATTGACATCATGATTTATTCCATATTCTTCATTTTCTTTTAATCGCACAAAAATCACTTTGAGAAATTATTTCAAAATGAGATAAAATAACAACGTACTTAGAATTACAAGGTAACAACTCTCGAACTCAAGTTCTTAATTTTTCTAAAAAATTTACAAAAAAATTCGCAGACTGTCTACAGTTCAGACGCGACTTATTAAAGGGGAGCCTACAGATCTAGCAATCCGCAACGACCTTACAAACATAGGTTTTTCTAACTTTATATAGTACCAAAATTTGTAGTATCCGAACCCAAGGCTTTCACGCCATGTCATAGGGTTGTTACTACTACACCAATTAATAATTGTTGTTAATTTACATAAAAAAATTACGAATTAAAATTATATATATAGCTCAATTTATATGATCATGTGACTGATTATTTTTTTTTTTAAATATCATAATTCCTATTGATCAGATTTTCAAAAATTCACTCTATCTAAAATGCCTTCCAATAATCATTACAAAAATGCTTGTCAAAAAAAAATTGAAGAATAATGGGTCGTTCGCTATCACGAGATTTTACAATTTTGCTAATCTTTACTAATTTTACCAAATTAGATAACAACTAATTCTGCCGTGTTCGCTGAAAATCATCGTCTGCTTTCCTTTTCGCAGTTGCTAGTAATTTTGATACTTGTCCGCTATCCGAAATCACACTGAAATCTCGAAATTCTGCCAAAATTTCAGAAATTTGGAAATTTATTAAAAAAAAAATTTTTTTTTTATCAGAAATTAATGATTTCAACTCGATTAAGCATATTTGGAGTATTTATCCTGTATAAAAGCGTATCCTATATAAAGCGCACAGTTGTGAAACAAAATAAGTCTGACCCGATAAATATGCCCCTCTTTTACTGCAGGCAACTTCCTCTCTT